ACAGAATTGCAAAGCCTAGTTTTTCAGACTGGATTACGCATAAAACCTCTTAATTTTGATAAATCTGGATTGATAATTTTTGCCCGATTAAAATAAGTCCTTTATGCTTCGGATGTGATGAAGGACTGAGGTGTAATACGGTGAAAATTGTTAAAATTTCAAGTGATTTTTGTGCACGATTACAATACTTTCTCTATACTTCGTATATACGAGAAAGTAAAAAGGGGTAGACTGCTTGTAAATGTAACGAATTGCAAAGACTCATTGCTAAATCAGTTAATTTCGATTAACAATTAGATTAACATCAGATTAACTAGCAGATTAATAAAAAAATCAAGAAATTTACCATCACATCAAACATTAGATTAAACATCACATCGACCATCACCTTACCCATCAAATCAAACAGATAAACCGTCAAAATAAAGCATCAAAATAAACCATCAAAATAAACCATCAAAATAAACCATATAAAGCTTTCTCTGAGAAAACATCAATGAATTCTACCAGCCCTGTGATAAAACAAAGCTGTTTTCCTAATGCTGCTGACGTATGCCATCCTCGATACAAATCTCATCAATCACTCACACACAGATAATGTACACATAAATAAACGTTACAGCAAGGATAATCGATACTTTTGATATTTTAGACTATCCGTAAACCAATATAAGCGCTAAAATAATAGAGTGATGACGACTCCACTGAATTGCGAAAACCCGTGGAGGCAGACGATAGAAGTACGAACGTACTCGAAAGCCTAGGGTCCACAACTAGAACATAAACACGTTCTTCCAACTTGGCCTCGTTCTGCTGATAGCAAAAAAACTCATTGAAAGCATTTTTGTCACAAATATCTTTACCGTGGTCATCTTGCTAGGAGGCTCTCAACAAAGGGCGATCCTTTAATGCCAGGAAAATTAATAAGTATTTTTTTTTAAATTCATAATTAAAATTTAAGTATACTTCCCTAAACACGAAACTTTGTGTTGCATCATTTTAATTTTGAAATGGTTACCTCGGGATGTTTTTTAAACATGCATCAAAACATGACAACTCATTGAAAAAATATAATCTTTAATTATATACTGTTAAATTGAATTCAAGAACCATAATCAAGACTCAGAGATGGATGCTAAATGTGGGCGCACAACTTAATCCATAGCTGATGATACAAGCAAGTTGTGATTATATTTTGGTATGTGGATGATCACATCATTATCTTTTCCATTTTGTGCCCATGACAAACGGAACCGCCACAAAAAGCTCCCTCCACTTTCGTCGGTCTCCGGAAATTTTCCTGGCAGTCCCCCATGACAGTCCTGCCTCTGTGAGCTGCTTCCTGGCAGTCCCCCATGACAGTCCTGCCTCTGTGAGCTGCTTCCTGGCAGTCCCCCATGACAGTCCTGCCTCTGCCAGCTGCTTCCTGGCAGTCCCCCATGATAGTCCTGCCTCTGTCAGCTGCTTCCTGGCAGTCCCCCATGACAGTCCTGCCTCTGCCAGCTGCTTCCCATGTGCGCCTCCACGTCTCTCTTGGTCTTCCCTACTTTCGTTTTCCTGGAGGCGTCCAGTGTAGCGCCAAACTGGATGATCAACATAGCTAGATCAAACACAGGAAAACTCGAGTGGTTGTCCCCCCTGTCCACATGATTTGCTTGTCCCCCCTGTCCTTATTATTTGCGTGGATGCCCTCCTTACCTGAATGATGGCAGATGCCCCTAACGCAAGGACCGGATATAGCATACAATTAGATAAACAGAGCTTAATTACATTTCATTTGATCCTGTTTTCGAGTCAAAACTTCAAACCTCTCAATAGAAAAATTAAATATTCGTATTTGCTCATGTATGTGTGTTAAATGTAGTATTTGTCGTGCTTCCTCAGGACATGAGAGCACTGCAAACATCTGTACTGATTTTGTAAACATATTTAAGACTAGTAAATGTAGCGGGAAAATGTTTGGATAAAAGTCAGTACAGCTTAAGTCTTGAAACTTCGTAAAAATATTTCACGATATCAAAAAATACCAGCCAGTGATACCTTCTCATACTTTGATCAAGGTTCATTAAGATTTATTCAACTGATTTACCAAGTCACCAGCTAAGTCATTGGTAAACCTTGGTGCTCCTAAGTTCAAAGATCGAGAGATAACCTTGGGAGATAACCTTGAGAGATAACCTTGAAACATTTTACTATAACCAATCGGGTCTGGTTAAGGTACAACACCCCACACACTACAACACCCTACTCACAACAACACTCTACACACAACAACACCCTACACACAACAACACCCTACACACAACAACACTCTATACACTACAACAATCTGCCATGCACAATATCCTTCACTATACATCCTTCACTATACAACATTCTACAATATACAACATCATACTCTGTACAAGATCCTACAATGTATATCATCCTCAAACATCCTACAATGTATATCATCCTAAAACATCCTACAATGTACAACATCCCAAAACATTCTACAATATACAACATCCTAAAACATTCTACAATATACAACATCCTAAAACATCCTACAATATACAACATCCTCAAACATCCTACAATATACAACATCCTCAAACATCCTACAATATACAACATCCTCAAACATCCTACAATGTATATCATCCTAAAACATCCTACAATGTACAACATCCCAAAACATTCTACAATATACAACATCCTAAAACATTCTACAATATACAACATCCTAAAACATCCTACAATATACAACATCCTAAAACATTCTACAATATACAACATCCTAAAACATCCTACAATACACAACATCCTAAAACATTCTACAATACACAACATCCTAAAACATCCTACAATATACAACATCCTAAAACATCCTACAATGTACAACATCCTAAAACATCCTACAATATACAACATGCGACCCTTACAACATACATCCGTGCCACCTATTCCCCATGCTCCCCAACAGAATGCATTAGTGTGTTTTGATTTCAGCCAATCAGATCCTAATCAACCCGCCGGAAACCAGGGCAGGAGATGGAAACTTTGTCTAGCAGACGACAGAGAGAGACAGGCTTAAAGTGGGCGTCTGATGCTCGACATTTAAGTTTCTATTTCAAAAGGTCCTTTCTCTTAAAGTTGACAAGTAGAGTAACTTGATTTAAAGTTAACAAGTCGGGTAACTTGATTTAAAATTGACAAGTATCAAACTTCGATCGCCTCTTTTTATCAACCTTTTATCGCACCTTTAAACATGCAGTGTATCAACCTCATATAGCAGCAATACCACGTCATCTCCCCTACCCCCCCCCCCCCCCAACCCCACAGCTCATTATGCCCACAGTGGTCAACACAGGGGCAATAACCCACAAATTAAAGTCCATAGCCCACATTTCATGACCAGATTCTATACCGGCTGAAAGAAATATTACAGCCGTCTAAAACACGACGCAGGATCTCTTCAATGCGAGCAATGATTCTTGGTCTGCCTTTTATCTCAACGCTGCCATTAATTGTATCTGAAAGTGGCGGCAAGACTCCTGTCTGCTACCTAATTTATTGATCTCAACACGGAGAAATCGATGGCGTAAACTATTTGTTGGCTATTTTTTCTTTCTTTGGTACTTTTGCTCATGTGTATTTGTTTGCTTGGAAGTTTTGCTCATGTGTATTTGTGTGCTTGAAAGTTTTGCTCATGTGTATTTGTGTGCTTATATATATATATATGTATATATATATATATATACATATATACATTTATACATATATTTTCCGAACTAAATTGGGAACATACGACGTCTTTGACTTAATAGACGGGATATACGATGTATCAGACTGGATGGAAGGTACGGCGTGTTTAGCTAAGTGACAGGAACATGGAATGTACTTAACTAGGTGTACGGGAACTTAGAACTGACGGGAACATGCAATGTATGAAACTGACCGCACCGGGACCATGCAATGTATGAAACTGACCGCACTGGAACGTATCAAGCCAGATTGTTGAGACATAAAATGTCTTGAACCAGATTGTTGTAGACGTGTGTCTTCACGTGTCTCAGCGGGCCTTCGTGTGGACTGTAAGGAAAAAACTGTTTCAGGAGGTCGTCGTGACCTAGACGTACTCTGGAACTTTAGGACTTCGTCAAATTATCGCAGCAGTGCAGACAGCTCAAACAGCCACATGCACACATCAGACAGCCAAATAGTTACATCAGAGAGCCAAAAGGTCCCATCAGAGAGCCAAAAGGTCCCATCAGAGAGCCAAAAGGTCCCATCAGAGAGCCAAAAGGTCCCATCAGAGAGCCAAAAGGTCCCATCAGAGAGCCAAAAGGTCCCATCAGAGAGCCAAAAGGTCCCATCAGAGAGCCAAAAGGTCCCATCAGAGAGCCAAAAGGTCCCATCAGAGAGCCAAAAGGTCCCATCAGAGAGCCAAAAGGTCCCATCAGAGAGCCAAAAGGTCCCATCAGAGAGCGAGAGCCAAAAGGTCCCATCAGAGAGCCAAAAGGTCCCATCAGAGAGCCAAAAGGTCCCATCAGAGAGCCAAAAGGTCCCATCAGAGAGCCAAAAGGTCCCATCAGAGAGCCAAAAGGTCCCATCAGAGAGCCAAAAGGTCCCATCAGAGAGCCAAAAGGTCCCATCAGAGAGCCAAAAGGTCCCATCAGAGAGCGAGAGCCAAAAGGTCCCATCAGAGAGCCAAAAGGTCCCATCAGAGAGCCAAAAGGTCCCATCAGAGAGCCAAAAGGTCCCATCAGAGAGCCAAAAGGTCCCATCAGAGAGCCAAAAGGTCCCATCAGAGAGCCAAAATGTCCCATCAGACAGCCAAAAGGTCGCAACAACACCAACATTAAAATCAACTTGTTATGACAGTGTATGACATCGAAGTGATGTGTAGGTCATCAAAAATGTGTTTGACATCATTTTGATGAGTATGACAATACGTTAATGATTATAACATCACTGTGATATTTTGCTTCAAAAAAGATCTCATTCCTTCCCCCACCCTAGTTGTACTCTGTGTTATAACCGAAGCAAGGCACAATTCCCAGACAGCTTCCTATAGACGGGGCGGCCAGGAACTGTGGGTGGGGCGGCCAGGAACTGTGGGGCGGCCAGGGACTGTGGGGTGGGGCGGCCAGGAACTGTGAGGTGGGGCGGCCAGGAACTGTGTGGTGGCCAGGAACTGTGGGGTGGGGCGGCCAGGAACTGTGTGGTGGCCAGGAACTGTGGGGTGGGGCGGCCAGGAACTGTGGGGTGGGGCGGCCAGGAACTGTGGGGTGGGGCGGCCAGGAACTGTGGGGTGGGGCGGCCAGGAACTGTGGGGCGGCCAGGAACTGTGGGGCGGCCAGGAACTGTGGGGTGGGGCGGCCAGGAACTGTGGGGTGGGGCGGCCAGGAACTGTGGGGCGGCCAGGAACTGTGGGGTGGGGCGGCCAGGAACTGTGGGGTGGGGCGGCCAGGAACTGTGTGGTGGCCAGGAACTGTGGGGTGGGGCGGCCAGGAACTGTGTGGTGGGGCGGCCAGGAACTGTGGGGTGGGGCGGCCAGGAACTGTGTGGTGGCCAGGAACTGTGGGGTGGGGTGGCCAGGAACTGTGGGGTGGAGCGGCCAGGAACTGTGGGGTGGGGCGGCCAGGAACTGTGGGGTGGGGCGGCCAGGAACTGTGGGGTGGGGCGGCCAGGAACTGTGGGGTGGGGCGGCCAGGAACTGTGGGGCGGCCAGGAACTGTGGGGTGGGGCGGCCAGGAACTGTGGGGTGGGGCGGCCAGGAACTGTGGGGTGGGGCGGCCAGGAACTGTGGGGTGGGGCGGCCAGGAACTGTGGGGTGGGGGGCCAGGAACTGTGGGGTGGGGCGGCCAGGAACTGTGGGGCGGCCAGGAACTGTGGGGTGGGGCGGCCAGGATCTGTGGGGTGGGGCGGCCAGGAACTGTGGGGTGGGGCGGCCAGAATCTGTGGGGCGGCCAGGAACTGTGGGGTGGGGCGGCCAGGAACTGTGGGGTGGGGCGGCCAGAATCTGTGGGGCGGCCAGGAACTGTGGGGTGGGGCGGCCAGGAACTGTGGGGTGGGGCGGCCAGTGGTATGACCTGGGGTTGAGGTGGCCAGTAACTGTGCTCAAGGTGAACTGGGGAATTGTGAAGAAGGAAATGGTTCAATGTACCCGCTGTCATAACGTCATTAGCAGATCGAGAAAACACAGTCGGGCTGTGGGTGAGTGGGAAACAATTCCTCTCTGTGCACGTGCCCTCTTCGCTTGCCCCACTAGGGTACTCACTCGCACGTCAACGGGCTAGCCACGTGATGCCCGAGTTTTATTTTGTCGAATTCTTTTTAAAAAAAAACTTTTCATCAATGTAACATTTCTTTTTGTGAAACTGTCTTATGCGTACTTCTAACATTTTTTTTTAAAGTCAGTTTTTTGTTTCTTGTTTTAATTTTTTTTTGTTTTTAATTTTTTGTTATGTTGGGGAAAATGACGATAATGTTTTAACCGGCTAAATGACGGTAATGTTTTAACCGGCTAAATGACGGTAATGTTAACCGGCTAAATGATGATAATGTTTTATACGGCTAAATGACTGCTAACCCGAAAATCTCGAGTTCAAATCTGGGTTCAAGTCCCTGAGTCCACCCAGCTTCACATTAAGGATAGTAATACTAGATAACACCTTCAATCTAGTGACTAAATACCAGAGAACACCGTCAACGTAGTGACTAAATACCAGAGAACACCGTCAATCTAGTGACTAAATACCAGAGAACACCGTCAATCTAGTGACTAAATACCAGAGAACACCGTCAATGTAGTGACTAAATACCAGAGTACATCCTCAATCTAATTCTAATGACTAAATACCAGAGAACACCGTCAATCTAGTGACAAACACCATTCAGCACTGTTAACTAAGTGACTAAATACCAGTGCCGAAACAATCAGGAAGTAAGGGACACCATACACCAAGTGACTAACTACCACAAAACACCACCACCTTCACGACCCCACCTGGCACCTGAGTAAATTGATCACCAAACACTGTACATTGTACCCCCATGTCAAGGTTTATATTTGTGTACAAAACAAAACATAGCCCAAAACGAATTACATCAAATAAAATAAAATCTACTCTTCCATCCCCCCCCCCCCCCCCCCCCACCCCCATCTCATCTTTAAGAAACCCACCAGGAAAACACAATTGAGTGTAAGTGAATTAAAAATAAACATAGAAGATAAAAAATGCAGCCATGATTGTTTTTCGTTAATCCGCTTAGGATTAGGGATTATAGATAGGCCTGGAGGTCAGAGGTCGATTGACTTGAAACAGATGTGGGGACAAACAGCAGGTGCCAGTCTAAGAGAGGCTTGTTTGTTTAGACGCTTGATGTGGCCAGATTTAGCAGGCGTGGGATGAACTCACAGGATGGTGTGGGGGGGGGGGGAGAGGCGTAAATAGACTGAGGGGAGGGTGGGGGGTGGCTTGTTACAAATTTAACGGCCCGGACAGGTTCAAATAATTCAATTTAGCGACGTTAGACAGAGAAGAAGATAGGGAGGGCGACAGAGAGGGCGAGAGAGAGGAGAGGGATGAAGAGAGGGGGACGGGTAGAGTTAAAGAAAGAGAGTGGAACCGTCCATTTTGCAAATGTAATTCATCATCCCACCCATCCCCCTCCCTCTCTTTCTTACACACACGCACACATACTCATACACACATACGCACATCTCAAAAACAAATATTCTAGTTGTGAAACGGTGTGTAGTAGGCCTAACCATCCTGATCGATGTGAGTATATTGGTGTAGTGTATAGTTGGCCTATAGATCCTGATGAATGCGAGTATAATGGAATATTGTGTTGACACCAGTGGAGTAGCCAGCATCGTCTCATGGGGTGGGGGTTCAATTTTTACCACCATATTATATATATATATATATATATATATATATATATATATATATATATATATATATATATATATATATATATATATATATATATATATATATATATATATATATATATATATATATATATATATACATATGTAACCCCTTCATATCATATATTGTAACCCCGCCTACCCCCCCCCCCCCCTGCCCACGCCACTGGTTGACACGAATAGGGCTGATATCGTTCCGTTGACTTAAGATAACTGTCATATGGGGTGGGGGTGGCTAGTGGTATGACCGGGGGTGGGGGTGGCCAGTGGTATGACCTGGGGTGGGGGTGGCCAGTGGTATGACCTGGGGTGACCAGTGGTATGACCTGGGGTGGGGGTGGCCAGTGGTATGACCTGGGGTGGGGATGGCCAGTGGTATGACCTGGGGTGGGGGTGGCTAGTGAGATGACCTGGGGTGGGGGTGGCCAGTGGTATGACCTGGGGTGGGGGTGGCCAGTGGTATGACCTGGGATGGGGGTGGCCAGTGGTTTACACCTGGGGTGGGGGTGGCCACTAGCCAGTGTTATGACCTGGGGTTGGGGTGGCCAGTGGTATGACCTGGGGTGGGGGTGGCCAGTGGTATGACCTGAGGTGGGGGTGGCTAGTGATATGACCTGGGGTGGGGGTGGCCAGTAGTATGAACTGGGGTGGCCAGTGGTATGACCTGGGGTGGCCAGTGGTATGACCTGGGGTGGGGTGGCCAGTGGTATGACCTGGGGTGGGGGTGGCCAGTGGTATGACCTGGGGTCGGGATGGCCAGTGGTATGACCTGGGGTGGGGGTGGCCAGTGGTATGACCTGGGGTGGGGATGGCCAGTGGTATGACCTGGGTGGGGGTGGTCAGTGGTATGAACTGGGGTGGCCAGTGGTATGACCTGGGGTGGGGGTGGCCAGTGGTATGAACTGGGGTGGGGGTGGCCAGTGGTATGACCTGGGGTGGGGATGGCCAGTGGAAGTTCTGGGTGGGGGTGGTCAGTGGTATGAACTGGGGTGGCCAGTGGTATGACCTGGGTGGGGGTGGTCAGTGGTATGAACTGGGGTGGGGGTGGCCGGTGGTATGACCTGGGGTGGGGATGGCCAGTGGTATGACCTGGGTGGGGGTGGTCAGTGGTATGACCTGGGGTGGCCAGTGGTATGACCTGGGGTGGGGGTGGCCAGTGGTATGACCTGGGCTGGGGGTGGCCAGTGGTATGACCTGGGGTGGGGATGGCCAGTGGTATGACCTGGGTGGGGGTGGTCAGTGGTATGAACTGGGTGGCCAGTGGTATGACCTGGGTGGGGATGGCCAGTGGTATGACCTGGGTGGGGGTGGTCAGTGGTATGAACTGGGGTGGCCAGTGGTATGACCTGGGTGGGGGTGGTCAGTGGTATGAACTGGGGTGGGGGTGGCCGGTGGTATGACCTGGGGTGGGGATGGCCAGTGGTATGACCTGGGTGGGGGTGGTCAGTGGTATGACCTGGGGTGGCCAGTGGTATGACCTGGGGTGGGGGTGGCCAGTGGTATGACCTGGGCTGGGGGTGGCCAGTGGTATGACCTGGGGTGGGGATGGCCAGTGGTATGACCTGGGTGGGGGTGGTCAGTGGTATGAACTGGGGTGGCCAGTGGTATGACCTGGGTGGGGATGGCCAGTGGTATGACCTGGGTGGGGGTGGTCAGTGGTATGAACTGGGGTGGCCAGTGGTATGACCTGGGGTGGGGGTGGCCAGTGGTATGACCTGGGGTGGTGGTGGCCAGTGGTATGACCTGGGGTGGGGGTGGCCAGTGGTATGACCTGGAGTGTGATGCCTACTTAAGTCTATTCTAGTAAATGCCAGAACAGGTTGTTACAAATAAGCTGAAATATATTTTGTTCTTAATGATTTGCCGAATATTTACTACGAGCCGCTATTTAGTTGTTGTTTTTTCTACTTTTCATTAATTCATAATGTGTGAATTCGACAGTGCCAATGCTGCCACTGAAAATATTTGCTTTAAAACCCTCCTTTCCCCAACCCCTTTCCCCTAACCCCCCCCCCCCCCCCCCCAATAAAAAATCGTTTCAAACTAAATTATCTGCCCCTAATAGCCGTCACTAAACCCGTCTCTACGATTGTAAACATTCAGCGTGAACCACAGCTCACCAGACCATGTGGGGATGGGTGGTAGCAATATGCCTAGAGAGGAAGAGAGGGGACTGCTAGGCGCGCTTACAGCTTGGTGTTTTCTAGCGTCTCCAAGAAGAGAATTATATATAGATTACCATCAATACTTTTAACCTCCCGTTTAAACTAAAAAAAAACTTAAGATTCCAATTGTTCTATAAATATATTCGAGAAAATACAAGTGAATGCTCCATTGATTTGTGCTTTTTGTATTTTGTGCTTCTGTTTATTGTCTAATACGTTATCGCATTCAATACATGTTATCTTGACGAACTTGAATAAGGGCAGCAACCGAAATTTAGAGTTTCAAAAATATTTTCCTGTATTCTCTCCCCTTGTCCGCTTTGAATTAACAATTTTACAAACAATTTCGAAGGAGTTTTAAGTTTTAAAAAATCTGGTACGAGAGTCTATATGCATTCAGACATGTTTATCTTCTATGAACACTTATGTTTTTATTACACACAAAAATGATCGGGTAGTAGAGCGCTCGACTGCTAGCCCCAAGGCTTGAGTTCGGATCTCGTCAGGGCTCGAGGTTGTAGTCCACAAGTCCTCTCATCTGTCAAGGGTACTTGACACATTAGTGAGTAAAGGCGGGTGGCATAGTGCTGACCACACCGTCCCTTCATGTGGCATAGTGCTGACCACACCGTCCCTTCATGTGGCATAGTGCTGACCACACCGTCCCTTCATGTGGCATAGTGCTGACCACACCTTCCCTTCATGTGGCATAGTGCTGACCACACCGTCCCTTCATGTGGCATTGTGCTGACCACACCGTCCCTTCATGTGGCATAGTGCTGACCACACCGTCCCATAGTGCTGACCACACCGTCCCTTCATATGGCATAGTGCTGACCACACCGTCCCTTCATGTGGCATAGTGCTGACCACACCGTCCCTTCATGTGGCATAGTGCTGACCACACCGTCGCTTCATGTGGCATAGTGCTGACCACACCCTCGCTTCATGTGGCATAGTGCTGACCCTACCGTCCCTTCATGTGGCATAGTGCTGACCACACCGTCCCTTCATGTGGCATTGTGCTGACCACACCGTCCCTTCATGTGGCATAGTGCTGACCACACCG